AAGTCACTGGAAACGAAACGGAAGTGTATCAAGAGAAGATCAGCCTCTTCCATCTGCTGCAGCTTCCAGCTGCACCGTCTCCCAACCCCCCAACCCCCGCTGACAGCCATCTTGTCAATCAAGAATCCTCTACTGGTCCGTCCGTCACTCCGTAAGCAGGTTCCGTAGGAAACACGATGTCAGATCCCAGAAGCCGTAGTCGTCATTTTATAACAAACCGCGCGTACTGACGAAACAAATAGGAAACCAGTTACCGGCCGTCCGCGACATTCTTCAGTCATTATTAGGAACCCGGCACTGCCTTCTGGATTGTAGCGCCGTGTCGTCTGGTAGATGTTCATCAACATTTCAACGCCCTGATGATGGAGGCAGCACACACCTCCGAAACGTCGCTCAACGTCTACCAGACAATACGGCAAAATATTCCAGACGGCGATAACTTCACACTCACGTGTCTCAGAACACAACTTGTTCAACATTTTATATCCTACATAACCTCACACTTATCAATTTCAATCATCAACATATTTGAATCTGTTTTACCTGCATCATTGTTCCGAACAAGGGATTCAACTTGATATCTAACACACTGCCCGTTTCCTACAGACAGGAACAGAGGACACTTGACACTCTAACTTAAGCGCTGGTGGGTTTCATCCTAAGCGGATCGGTTACTTTGGATTCGTTTATCTTCGATTGGGATAAGTTACATTGGATTAGGTTGTGATATTTTGGGTTAGGTTGGGTTAGCTTACGTTACGTTAGGTTAGGTTAGGTAAAGTAAGGTTAGGTTGTTTAGATTAGGTTAGATAAGGTTGTGTTGTGTCCTAGAGAATTTCTAGCGTATTCATCGGGTGGTCGTGGTGATATCCTGGAGAAGTTCTGGAGAAATCCTGGATAAGTTCTAGAGTATCGCCGGAGAAGACCTGGAGACGATATGCGGAAGTTCTTTGGTCATGGAGAATTGCTGGAGAAATCCTGGAGAAGTGATGGAAAAGTCCTGGAAGGTTATGTGGAAGTTCTTAAGCGGCGGTGGGTTTGATCCTATGCTAGTCGATAATTCTGGATGCGTTTAAGTTTGACTGTGATAAGTTACATTAGATGAATTTGCGTTTTGGGCTAGGTTGGGTTAGGTTAAGTTAGGTTTAGCCACGTTAAGTAACGTAACGTTAGGTTGTTTAGCTTAGGTTAGATAAGGTTGCGTTGTTTTACGATGGGTTAGGATGTGTCCTAGAGAATTTCTAGCGTGTTCATCGAGTAGTCGTGGGGTATCCTAGAGAAGTGCTGGAGAAGTCCTGGAGAATTTATGGGAAAGTCCTGGAGAAATCGTGGGTAAGTCCTAGAGTAGTGCCGGATAAATCCTGGAGAGGTTATGCGGAAGTTCTTTGGTCATGAAAAATTGCTTGAGAAATCCTGGAGAAGTGCTGGAGAAGTCCTGGATGGTAATGTGGAAGTCCTTCAGAGGCATTTTAAAAGGAAATGCGTGTACCGAGAGCCATCAAAGATTGCGGCGAGGTTCCATGTTATGACGCACGACAACCACTGTCTAGATGTCAACAGACAGCGCCAAATATGGCCACTCCCTGGTTCAGCTTCCACTCCGGAGCACAACCAGTAAAGCGAAATGCATCGGCACTTGACAACCTTCATAACGCGTCTCCTTCCATACTGTTAAACTTCAAAACTACTGTACGCTTTACACTCTTAAATTACCACCCAGGGCATATTTATTACA